AATCTTTGTCACTTTACCCGTAACATCCGTTGTCCTCATGTAGAACTGAGGCCTGTAACCTGCAAAGAACGGAGAATGCCTTCCACCTTCTTCTTTCTTCAACACATACACAATCGCTTCAAACTTTGTATGTGGAGTAATCGATCCGGGCTTAGCTAAAACCATACCTCTCTGAATATCAGCTTTTTGAATACCCCTAAGCAACAATCCTACATTATCTCCAGCTAAAGCCTCGTCGAGTATCTTCTGAAACATTTCGACTCCAGTAACAGTGTAGTTCCTAGTTTCCCTTAAACCCACTAAGTCTACAGTCTCTCCTACCTTCACCGTACCTCTTTCGACACGCCCTGTAGCTACCGTACCCCTTCCGGTGATAGAGAAAACATCTTCAACAGCTAACAAGAACGGCAATTCGGTTTGCCTAGTCGGAATCGGAATGTAACTATCAACAGCATCCATAAGCTCATAGATCTTATCTACCCATTTGTTATCACCTCTTTTCACATTCGGATTCTCAGTAAGTGACTCTACAGCTAAAAGTGCAGAGCCAGAGATAATCGGAATATCATCACCGTTAAATTCATACGACGAGAGAAGCTCACGAACCTCAAGCTCAACGAGCTCTAGCAACTCTGCATCATCTACTTGATCTTCTTTGTTGAGGAAGACAACCATATCAGGAACACCAACCTGCTTCGCCAATAGGATATGTTCTTTAGTCTGAGGCATAGGACCATCGGCGCCGGAGACAACGAGTATAGCTCCGTCCATTTGTGCAGCTCCGGTAATCATGTTCTTAACGTAATCAGCGTGACCAGGACAATCAACATGAGCGTAATGACGATTCTCAGTCTCGTATTCAACAGTAGCAGTGTTGATTGTGATACCACGAGCTCTCTCCTCCGGTGCGGCATCAATCTCGTCGTACTTCTTCGCGACACTGCTTCCGATTGAAGCTAAAGCCATGGTTAGAGCTGCAGTCAAAGTAGTCTTTCCATGGTCAACATGACCAATCGTACCGATGTTCACATGAGGTTTCTTCCTCTCGAACTTCCCACGAGCAGCACGGACGGTGAAGGAACGGCGAGTGGATTGAGAAACGGAGGTTGTTGCGGTGGATGATAATGAGTGAGAAGGGAGGAAAGAGGAAGAGAGAGTTAGGGTTTTGAGTTTACCAGAGGTTGAAATGGTGGGTGAGAGAGATGGAGATGGGGATGATGAGTATGAACAGAGGAATCGAGAGGAGGAAGAACATGCGGCTGGAGCCGAAATCGCCATTGAAAGACGGATTGGAGAAGAAGAAAGAGAGAAATTCGAGAATCGAGGGTTTGAAAATTTGTGGATTTTGGAGAAGAAGAAGATTTGTTTATAGTGTTATCTGAAAGATGAAGGGCTCATATTAAATCCTATCCGTTGCAACTTCTTTGTCCTCAAGTTCATACAACCACAAATCGTGTCGTTTTGAGTTCCCACTACCACAAATCGTGCCCTCTTTTAGAGTCATAAACGGCAAGATTAACTAAGTAAGGAACTACTCGCTGTTTTTTTGTCTGACAAATTGTGCCGTTTTAAGTTCACACAATCAATGATCGTGTCGTCTTTTACAGTTATAACGGCAGACAAACCAAAGTCATTAAGGGAAACTACATGCTGTTTTGTTATCAGTTGTTCTACTTTCTAAAACCTGAAGAGATTCTTATGGACTTTGGGGACTAAACGGCAAGTAAGTGAAACTCGAGTTTGGTCTCTGTTAAGAATCTTGTCATTATCTTTTCTTGAATCTTCATTAGAATTCTCTGAGTTTGTAGTAGACAAAGCTAAAGCTTCAGCTTCATTCACCACCTGAACAAGAAAAACCACAGTAAAATCACTGTCCTTAGCACCAATGTCACTACCATTTTACATATTGCTCATATGAAAAAAGAGCTTTGTGTTGCACCTTGTTGTAGCATTGTGTTGGACTATCGCTAATTCCGTGGAGGAAATCTGAAAACAAGAGAGGATAATATGCATTAACCGGCTGTTTAAAACTGTTCTTGATTACTCTTCTTGCTCTATACACATGAGAAATTTACCCGAGTAAGCTTCATCTTTGAAGATCAGTAAGCTTCGAGGCATCATCAAGACAGAGAACGAATGTGGATTATCTCTCTCAGGCACACAACTCTCTGCACCGGGACATTGGTCTCTGGAAATGTCATCATCGCCTGATCTTAATCTCAAATGCGGACTGAAGTCCATAACGACAGGTGAACCTAGAGACAGGATAGCTACAACGGGAAAATAAGCGGGTCCATCTTGGTGCGGCTGTAGAAACAACAACCATGGAAGTAACAAAACTCGATCATGAACTTTAGCAGAAACTAAAACCAATGAATAAGAAAGGAACCATTCAACGTACCATTATCCCTTGGTCAGGATGGTATTCATTGATAAGGACATGATTTATCGCAGAAGGGAATAAACCCGAGCTTTCGTAAATTTTCGCTGTAATCTTTGTCAGCCAAGAAGGCACTGAAACAAAACGAATGCACACTCTCGAGTATCTAAAAATTTTCATTACCAATTCATCATTGAAATATTTGCACATATTTACTTACACTCTTGTGGAACAAGACCCTTTTCATGGACCATACCACCTACAGAATAAACCAAAGCTCAAGACTTTCACACAAACAATGTAATGATAACAAAGTAAGAGTAAGTGTATACACAAACCCCAGTTCTGTAATCTTCTGTTCTTTAATGTCTTCCACTTAGAACCAGATGCTCCATATATCTTACAAGACAGTAAAAGGATACTTTAAAACAGGAACAAAATCAAGATGCCAAATTGCAAAAGAATTGGAGAAGACTTGTTACATGATTTAAGAGCTGAGTTTGTTCTTCATCAGTTATGAAAGCAGGAAGGTAGAACACTGTTGGTGTAAGACCTACCCTGAATCTCTCTAACTCCATGACTGTGTCAAAGAATCAAACTTTAGTTTGGTAATGGATCAAAATCAGAGCAAATCAATCATCTTTTGGAGAAATCGAGTCTATTCAACTAATTTACTCAAATGAAGAAAATATCAAAAGAGTGAGAAAGGGATAAATGAAACTGACCGTGAATGCAATAGGAAACAGAGGAATCGATAAACCCTAAAAGAGAAGAGATTGAATTGTTGCTTTCACTTGAGAGGATGAAGAAGAATCTGACGAAGAAGAAAGGACGAGTAAAACTCAGGTTTCTTTCTCCTCAAAAGAATATATAAAGGTTACATTTTTCGTGGGCTTTGAAATGCATAAAACCCAACAAAATCTTCTCAAGCGGCCCAAATTTTATTTGGTAATTTAAACAGGAAATTAAATAGTTTAATTTCTGCAAATTTTTCACTGTAATGGACATTGTGTACTACATGGCAGAAACTGAAAATTGAAAAGAAAAAACGTACAGAAATGTAATGGAAAAATACAACAATCTATATGGAGACAAGACTTAAAAACTTGATTTGTAGAATCAAGACGGATATATGTCTATGAAAACGCTTCATAGTGTAACGGTTTTGTAGCATTCTTATACTCAACCAATGTAGCTATTACGGACCAACAAAAATTAAACAACAAAAATATAGATTGTTTCATAAAATAAAACTCAACTAGTTAAATAGCTCGGAGAATTTAGCCTCCATAGTTTCTTTCATCTCATGCAGCTCCTCACGCATAGATTTGTGTGCATTCTCCAACTCCTCTTGCTTCTTCTCCATTTCTGCGATCTTCGCATCACGTTCTTGAACCATGTCGTTAAGTATCAGGGCCGTCTCAATTTTTTGTAAGATCCTAGGCAAAAGAAAAAATTTTGGACCCTTTTTAAGATAAATTAAAAAAAAATTGTGGGCCCTCTTTTTTTAAAGAATTTAAAAAAATTTCACATGGTCCTGTGCGATAGAACCACTTGCCACCATTCTTAGACGGTCCTGTTAAGTATTTTGATCTCCGGAGGAAATGATTGATGAGAAGCCGAAGAAGTAGTTTCTTCTTCGGATTCCAATGCTTCCTCTTCTTGTACCTCCTCATCATCACTATCTATCTTTCCTTGTGGTCGACGCAGATAATAATTATGACAATATTTCACTCGAGAGAGCCTAAAGCGTTCCGAATCGGGGATAGGGGTTCCTCCGAAAGCTAGGCTGTTCCAACGCCAGACTTTAGTTGCAGGAATATATAGCAATCCTGATGTATCTGGAGGCTGGCATACAAAGACACCAAATCCTTTCGCTCTCATGGCACAAAGCTCCTCGATGAAGTCCACGTCTCGGGATACGTCTCCCAAGACAAACATTAAAACTGAATTAGGATGAATAAGTGCGGAGGAATACATGTCAATGGAAATCTTTCTCAATCTCTGAGATGCATCTCCTGCAACCACATATAATATATATTATACTAGCATTAAGGCCCATGCAGAAGTAAAATGATCTTAGTTTTAATAAATATAGCAGTTCAAACTCCAAAAATGTTCTTAATTTTAATAAATATAGCAAACTAAACTCCAGAAGCACAAAATTTTGCAAGGAATTATAGAAAAAAAACCTACAACTGTCTTCGTCTTCCATATCCTCTTTTCTCTTTGCATTTTATCATTTGCATCCTCTCTTTATTCGTTGTTGTTCCACTTCCAAGAAATATTTTTTTGAATGAACGTAAGATAGATTGCATCAATTGTGGCAATTTAAACTTACTTGTTTCCATTGTATAAGTTAGAGCATATTATGTGATACAAGGGTACATAAATTAATATTCCTTTAGATTCAATGCAGCTTTGATATGAAATGTATATTTAAAATCTTATACCAGTGCAAGTCAGAAAGAAAAATTTCGAGATAACTGAAAAGAACATAAAATTAATCTACAAAAACAATATTACTTAAAAGAAAATGCATCGTAATGTTAAACTCACTCTCATCCGTTAGAACTTGGCCTAAATATATTTCTTAATGATGCTACAGTGACAACCTAAGCTCGTTTAGTTGCATGTGTTCCAAATGTGATCATTTTTAGTTTTGGGTTCCAGAAATCACAAGTTCATTGGTGAGCCAATTGATACAATCAAGACGAAAATGGATCCAAACTCCTACTTATATTATCACAATTGATCAAATTGCAGTATCATAAGCAAAACTTTATTTAAGGAATGGCTAAAACAATTATAAATGATAGAACGGAAAAGTGAAAATATCCAAAATTATAAAACAACTATAAATTTATGGTTCTACATTAACAACACATATCCAAAATTAAGGAAGTGTTATTGGATTAGTGTTTTTAATGTATTTTAAAATCAGAATGAAATCCGTGTTATTCAATTGTGTATTTGATATAAATACATTAAAATCTCCTGTTATTAGATTAAGTATTTGTTTGGTGTATTTTAAAATACAATAGAAACAACTGTTATTCAATAAACCCTTGATTTTAGAGGATTTTGGTTAGATTGGATTTTGATGTATTTTTTCCGTGAAATATGAACAAAATAAATACACGATTCGAATCTCATATTTTGATGGATTTCAGATAAAAATCAAAAACTAAAGAAAATATTTCTAAATTTTTTATGTTTTCTCCGTGACTGGATCCATGATCTTTCCTGAAACTCAAGCGACGATCTGTTGAAATTTTGATAAATTTAGAACGATCCATGAATTTCTTGTAACTAACCTGGCTAAACAATTACTTACCCTCTCCGTAGACGTAGCACTAAAAATTCCATATCCCTGAATACTCTCATGTAAAAAAAAAAAAGCAGATTAGATATTGTTTTTAATTCAATCTGATAGAAAAATTTGCTTTTCCGTAGCAAATGGTTGACTGGAACAAACACTTGTTACCTAGCTAGATTTTCTCAACAAATATAAAAAAATAGGCATATTTTAAAATCTTCAGTTTTGATCTCAAAATATTTTCCTAGCCTCCCTATATAACGTGAAAACAATAACAAGAGTAGATCACAAAACACAAAGCCAGCTTAAAAGTAATTGTTAATATCTCTTACTTAGCGTTTATATAATTGTTCGTGACAATGTTGATGTTACAATCTTCTAAATCATTGTTTTCCATATTTTGTAGGTATTTTTCTATCACATATGATCTCAATTCTGGATTCGAAACATGTAAGTTATTGTTTTCAGTTCTCCAACTCTTTTACTATAATTCCATCAGTCATTTATCTTCTTTTGTTGTCATCACTTGTTAATAAGTTATCTAGTTTTCTGTTTGTCGTTGCATACGAGTAATCTAAACTATTACTTTGATATTTTACTGTATAATATGTCATTATTTGATGTTCTTGTCTACGTTTTCATTAAAAACAAATATTTTATATTTTCKTGATGTTAGAATTTTGTTTGATGTTGCGAATGAAATTTGATGAAGTTATATGTGATATTTGTGTTACTATTGTAATACACGATAAGTTGTAAGGAAAAGAAAAC